ATGGGCTATAATTAACTTTGGAGATCTTGCTTCATGTTGGTGAGAAGGCCCAAGGGAGAAGATCCATGGGACATCATGGGCTATAATTAACTTTGGAGATCTTGCTTCATGTTGGTGAGAAGGCCCAAGGGAGAAGATCCATGGGACATCATGGGAAATAGCTAATTTGGGGGATCTTGCTTTATGCTGTCTTGTGCATTTGAGCATTTGTGCAAAGGTTGGTCATGCATACCTGGACAAGGTGGGAGGTTGGGCTTATCTTTAGTAGAAACATCATTTCGTCTCTGCCCTCTTTGAAGTCCTACCCACCGAACCTGCCAAACAGCCTGGCATAATAATAAGAAATTAAATATTAGGTCCTTTGCAACAACATCTCCACTCTTGTTGTTCCTCTCAAATCTGCCCGCCAAATACCTCTGGAAGCAGAGCTGAAGCCAAGAGACATTTTCTGCTTTTTATCCCTAGCAAGCATCTGGTGGTGGGCAAAGACAGGTGTGCCAAAGTTCTAGAAAAGAGGGGGAAACATACATTGTAGCAGAAAAAAAAACCATCAGAGAAAAGTCTAGTTGCTTCTCTTCAAGATGAATCCATCTGCAAAAAGTGATTTCATGATTTTCCTAGGCATTACGGATCGTTTATTTTGTGACCAGTAAAAGATTCTGAGGAATTCTGGCCCCAGCATTAGCTGAGATTCACCTGCACAGCTTTAACAATTGCAGGGGGAAAGGTAGATTTCGAATCCTAAATTCCATTCCATTCCACGTACATTTAAGTTTCCTCAAAATCGAAATGTCAGGGTTCCAAGAAGCATCCAAAATTAAATCAGAGTCCGAGGCCAAAGATTCCTCAAAGTTCCAATTTATTAAAAGAGCCATGTTGGCTTGTAGACTTGACAGAAATATTGGTTGTGTGATTCTTATATAGTCGTCTGTTTGATCGCATGATGGGGAGAAAAACTACAATTTTCTCACAACTTTGAAAACCCCAACGATAAGTTTTCAAGAATGCAATTTCTTGAAACAAGGAGAATGCATTCAACAGTGATCGTTCTGGCAGCAGGTCGTAAGGCCCTAAAAATGCTCCTGAAAAGATGCGATGCTATAGATTTAAAATAATGCATGCAACTTTCTAGATTTAAAATAATCTAGGCAATTTTGGGGGGTTGAATACAATTCATGCAACATTTGGGGGTTTGCAACAATTCATGCAACATTTTGCATTTAAAACAATTCAGGTGACTTTCTGGATTTTTTTTTTTCCAAAAAAAAATCGTGCAACATTTGGGGTTTACAACGATTCACGCAATTTTCTGGATTTAAAATAAGGAAGTTCCTGAAAAGATGTGATGCTTTAGATTTAAAAATAATTCATGCCTCTTTCTGTATTTTTTTAAAAAAAATCCATGCAATGTTTGCAATTAAAATAATTTGTGCAACGTTTTGTGGAGAAAAACTATTTTTGTGGTCACCAAGAGTTGACAACAACTTGACCAACTGATCTGGTGAATTGATTCATTCTGGATCTTAGAATGGTCTTGCAAAGCTTTCCGTGTCTTTGTTTTAGATTTAGAACGAGAGTCAGACAAACAGGGGTTAAAGCTAAAAGCATTGTGCAAGAACACACACGTGTTCGACCTCCAACTCCCTTCAAAAATGGGGCCAGTTTCCAAAGATTAAACTGGCAATCGGCGTGATCAGATTTCTTCTCTTGAGTGAGAAATCAAGCAACGTGTTTACTTTTGAAAAATGCAACTATCATATATAATCCCCCAGATTCTCAACTTTACCAGGAATGTTGGTTTTCAGTTCCCACCACTCCTGGCCACCGGCATGACACAAGACTGTCCTAGCTAGACA